AATAACAAGTATGATTGTATGGCTTGATCTTAGAGCATATAGAGAGGACAAAGTGTAAGAAGACTGAAAATATTGGAAGGGGTCAAGTTGTGAAAAGCTTTAAAATGCACAACAGAGGAGCTCCTATTTGATCCTAGAAGTAAAAAAAGAACCGTTGGAGTTAATTGAGTCAAAGGGTGACATGGTCCCTATGGGCATCTCATCTCAGACCTAGCATGTCTGAAACCAGAACTCATTATCTTTTCCCGAACAAACAACTCTCCCCTTCTAAATTTCATATCAATTTCAAGGGTACCACCATCCTCATAGTCACACGGGCTTACAACCTTGGTTTTATCCTTGACTTCTCACTCAGACTCACCCCACATATTCAATCTTTTATCAAGTCTTGTCATTTTTGCCTTCATAACTTATCTCCTGTTATCTTCTTTCTACTCACAAAACAACCAACCACCATGATTGAGGTTCTAGTTACCTCTCACCCAACAATTCAATGGGCTTTTAATTGGTCTTCATGTCTCGTTTTCCCCTATTCAAATCCATCCTCCATTCAGCTATCAAAATGATTTTCCTAAAGTTCAGGGCTAACCACATCACACACACACACACACATACACACATACATACTCATGCACACACACACACACACATACACTCATACATACTCATGCACGCACATGCACATACACGCACACACACACGTACACATACTCCTACTCAGTGTATTGCAATGGCTCCCTACTACCTCTGCGATCAAATAAAAAATCTTCTGTTTGGTATTTAAAGTCCTTCCTAATCTGCCTGCTTCCTGCCGTTTCAGTCTTCTTACATACTTTACTTCCCTCCATGTACTCTTATGTTCCAGCTACACTGGCCTACTTGTTATACCTCACAAATGACTCTCCATCTCCCTGTTCTGCACCTTTTCATTGGCTTTCCTCCATTCCTTGAAAGTTCTCCCTCTTCATGTCTGCTTCTCTGGTTTCCTTTAAGACTCAGCTCAGATCCCACCTTCTGCAGCAGATCCTTTCCATTCTCCCCTCTCCTCCCTACTACCTCCAGTGACTTTCCTTTGTGGCTATGTGGAGAGAAGGAGAAGTGTATGAAAGATAAAGTGCAGTTAGAAATGACAAGGTTTAGCAGCTTCTTGGCTATGTAGGCTGAGAGTGAGTAGTTAAATGTAACACTGAATATGAAAACTTGGGTCACTGGAAGTTGCACCAGACAGTAAAAGAAAACTTGATTTCACTGATTCTTTAAGAGAGGCAAATACTGTACGGCTAATTCTTCCATTAAAAAACAAACAAACAAACAAACAAAAACTAAGAGCATAGACAACAAAATTTTCATTCTTTAAACACAACACATTTTTTAAAATACACTTCAGTTCTAGATTATGTCTGGTTAATGAAGAAGGTCAACATGGGAAGGAAAGGGAGGGATGGAAAGGTGAAGAACTTGGACAAAGAAAGAGGAAGGTGAGAGGGAAGGACAAATAGCGAGAGAGGGAAAATCTTTCAGAAAGACAGAGAATCTGGAGGCTTGAAAGTGTTGATTCTAGCTGAAAAAATAAAGTAAATTAGTGACAGGGTTAGGAGAAGACTAGAAGCTTCTAGGTGTACTGCTTTGTTGTCCAAACCCGTTCGCTGAGGGCACAGGACTTTTTCCAAATGCAGAATGCCTATTGTATTTTCCTTCCTTCACAGGAGAGAATATGAAGGACGCCCGCTTTCCCTTGCTTCAGGATTATTGTGGGCGGGAAGAACCTACTAGCCATTTTGCCAAGGAAGGTCCCTGTTTTGCAGTTTGTGACTAATAGAGAAGATATATTTTATCTTGTAAAAACACTGGGAAGACTTAGCCTTAAAGAGCCTACAGTGTCTTTTGGACTGCTTATTTCTGGACATTTAAAATATTGGACCAAATTCAACCAAACATGATAAAGGATGAGATGCTCTACAGAGGACAGAAAGTACGCCACTCCTGAAGAGTTTGGTTTATCTTTTGCTGGTTGGACTTAGTTTAAAGCAAGTACAATATATACATATATATATACATATATATATTTTTGGTGACTATCTCAGAAAGAAAAGTTGCTTTCACTATGTGTCACTAGTCTATTATTAGCATCTAATAACTCTTCACTATTAAAGAGAGAGGCATGAACATACATCAAGTAATTGCAATTCTGCACAAGGAAATAAGAATATTGCTGTTATTGTTTACCCTAGCATTAAGGTACTGTACCAGGTTAAGGGTGGAGAGGATAATGGGCAAGGAAGCAGGGACTCTATACCAGTGGAATTTTTTTTCCTGTTCCAAATATAAAAGCTGTAATACAGCTCTGATATAGAATGGAAAAGAAAATATTGTCTTAATTGTTCTAGTTGTTGACGGGTTTTTTCTTTTTGATTAGCAATAGAATGTTTCATCCTTGACCCTTTGGGACTTATATCACTGTCTATGTTTCTTTTCAGTTGGTCTGGGTTCAGAAAAGCTTACAGTCTGTTTCTCTTTAGGCTCTGTTGATATACCATTTAGGTGTCCAAGCAATTTTTGGTGCTTGGAGATCTATCATTCCTATTTTGTTAAATGGCATAGCTCTCTCATATGGCAGACACTCCTTCACCCATGTGAAGGGCTGGGAATTCATGAAACTATGAAGAGGAATTGCGGTATTCTAGGAGAATTACCTGGCTGTGTTTTGGGGATGCTGACAAGCAATCAACATGAGTCCCAGCAGGAATTTTCATTTACTCTCGGGCTGTCAATTTCATTTATTATTGGTGTAATTAGTAACCTTTTATGATTTGAGCATTGTGTAATGACATTATGTAACTGTGTATTGTGACAAGAATGCTGTCAAAACAGGCACTTCATGGCATTGAGAAGCCTGTTTCTTTGTGTCACTGCAATACTCATTTGTCTAAGAGTTGATGATACTGAGAGTATAAGGAAAAACATTTAGAATGGAAAGTCAGCATTCACCAACCGCTCACTGCGACAACGTTGCTCTTGTCAAGAAAATGGAAGGTTTCTCCCTGGATGCTTTGTACTTCCTGGTTTCTTGGTTAAGTGCATCTTCCCTAGAAACTTCTTTGGAGATCCCTACAGCTTCTTGTGGGTCAGTGTATATGGGAAGGTTGGATATTTTTTGACAACCTTAGCAGTTATGAAGGATGTCAGGCAGATAGCATTGATACCAAGGCTTCACTGTTGAGAGGGTTTAGCCAGAAAACTTAGGAAAGTTTCCCACAAGGCATAGACCTTGTATTTCAGTTCTTACTTTGACAAGTCTATGGCCAAAGATTCATTCTCCTTGGTCAGGTCAATATGACATGAGTTATGACTCAAAAGAGGTTACTGTTTATCCCCTCCCCTTTCTTTTTTCCACTGCTATTTCTCACTCTTGTTAAGTCTGACACCACTTCTTACTAGTATAATAATTTCATCATTTTGAAAAATCAACACAGCACAGGGGGAAAAAACTAATAGCCATAGTGTGATATTCATAGGCTTTCACAAATGAGTCAGACCATTGATGAAAACTACAGCTGAGGAGTTCTATGGTTAAGAATAGAATTTTTTTTTTTCAAAATTGTCGCCCAGAAACTAGCAACCTGTTTTAAAAAAAAATGTAATAGCATTTTACTCTGGATAGTCTCTGGAAATCAAGAACTTCATAAACATCTCATTAATCTCTTCAAAACCTCTAGAAAGAAGGGATTGAGTATCACTCTGTGATAGATGGCTAGGCTAAGGAACATGGAAATTTGATTAGTTCCCCCCCCGCCAAATGGTTAACACAGCAAGGCAAATGACAGAATCATGGAACTTCAAAGCAGGAAGTAACCAAAAGGTCATCTAGTCCACCATTTACCTGAACAAGAATTAATTCTACATCAGGTTGGCAAGTGGTCATTCAGCACTGCCTAAAAACCTCTAGTTAGTGAGTTTGACTACCTCCTAAGGCAAGCCAATCCACTCTACCCCATGGACAATTCCAATTTTTAGGAAATTTTTCCCCAAACTAAAGAAAAATAGCTTCCCTGAACATTAACAATAATAATAGTAGCTGGCATTTATATTGCACTTTAAATACTCCTAAGCACTTAGCAAATACTGTTCCATTTTATCCTCCAAATAACTCTATGAAGAAGATATTACGGGTATTATTCTCCCCATTTTACAGATAAAACAAATTGAGGCTCAAAGAGGTTAAATACCTTTCCCATAGTCACACAGCTAGTAAATGTCAGAGGCAGAATTAAAATCCAGTTCTGCCTAATGTCAAGTTCACTGCTCTACCCACTAAGCTCTGAGTCTTGGAAGCCAAGCTGAATAAATGTCTTTCCTCTTACACAAGGCAGCACTTCAAAATATTGAAGACAGACACATTCCATCTAAGTCTTCTCTTCTCCAGGCTCAACATCACCAGATCCTTGTCTAGCATGACATCAAAGCTTTTCATAATCCTCATCTCCTTAAAATGTGGTACTCAGAACTGAACATAGTACTCCAGATGTGATCTGACAAAAGGAGAATACAGCAGAGACATCACCTCCCTGGACTCCATCATATTTGGTTACTGTATCATGCTGTTGAGCTTGTAGCCCACTAAAGCCCCCAGATCTTTTATTCAGAACATCTGCAATCCAGCAATACCTCCCTTGTTGTGTTTTGGGAAATTGATTTACCATACCCAAGTGTAAAGAATGAAGGGGGGGGGGAGAGAAAAGGAGGAGCAGAAAGAGAAACAGAATTTGAGCTTCAGCACGAGATGGATTCCAAGGAGGAGGAGGAATAGGAGCCAGGACATCGAGCCAAACAGAGATACTCCATTCTGAACTCTTGGAATGGACATATAAAGATAGAAATCATCTGTTTTAATATTCCTTCTAAGAACCAAATACTAGAGAATTCAATACTCAGAAGGAATATAATTCCTTCTGAGTACTATATTCCCTGAGACAATTTTGACAACCTTGGAAAAGATGACTCAAAGAGCTCCAGACATTCAGCACTTCATACCAGCTCATTTTGGGAAGGGTTCCGGAAATACTGTATGTAATGGTTGTGATTTAGGACCAAAAGTCATTCTGTTAGCTTGTAGATTGCCTACTCATCTTCATACCATGTAATGGAAAGAACACTGGAACATGTTTTAGGAAACTTGAATCCTAACTCTGGCAAAGAAACTTGTGACCTTTGGCAAGTCACTAAACTTCTCTGGGCCTCAGTTTCCTAATTTTTTACATCGGAATATTAATGCCTTTTCTACCTACCTCACAGAGTCATTGTGAGGGTTAAATAATACAAATGTAAAAATGCTTTGAAAAATTCTATAAAAATTTTGTAGGGAAAAAAGTGACTACTCTATTCTTATCCTTTGAGCCAGAGATCTATTTCTGAGCATATACTTCGAGGAATAGAGGTTAGATAATCAGCTTCAGAGCTGCCAAGACCTGGGCACAAGTCTTGCCTCTGACATATTAGCTGTGTGACCCTGGACAAGTCACTTAAATTCTCCATGCTCTAGGCAATTTTCTAAGACCATAAGTTGCAGAGAAGGTGCCAATTTGCATTGGTGAAGGGGTGCTTCCTTATTTAGGAGTTCTCTGTACCAGTAAAATCACAGATCTTGCCCCTATCCCTATACTCCAAGGTAGTCAAAGATAAGAAAGAAAGGTCCCATGTGCACCAAAATATTAACAGCAGAACTTTTTCTTTTGGAAAAGACCTGGAAACAAAAAACCCATCAATTGAGAATGGCTAAATTATACTTTAGTCTATGAATAGGATGGAATATGATTGTACCATTAAACATGATGAAATGTGAGGAATTCAAAGAAACATGGGAAGATTTGTATGAACTCCTACAGAGTGACGTAAGCAGAACCAGGAAAGCAATATACACAATGACTACAATGAAGTAAACAAAAAAAGAACAATAACATAAAAATGAACACTGTGTGATTATAAAGGCCAGTCTTGGCCCTGGGGGGAAAAATAAGAAAACTCATCTCCCTCCTTTCCTTGGAGAGTTGTGAGAATATGAGGATGAATGTTACCTACACTGTCAGATATGGTCAATGTGTCAGTTGGTTTTGCTTAATGCTTTTTAAAAATTTGTTACAAGGGAAAGTTCACAGGGGAGGGCAGAGGGGAGGGGCATATTTGAAAATGACTGTGATGTAAAAACAAAAGGCATCAATAAAACAAAAAGAAGAAAAGTATCATCCAAATGTAATATTATTTATTATTATTATTATCATTATTATTTGACTAGACCTATGATTATAATTAGTAACTGCAGATAGTTCGTTGAATCTCTCCTAAAAAAATTAAGAAATTATAGGAGATGTTTGGGTTTCTGGCTTTTAGGAAATCTTCATTTGCTGGGTCTGGATATGAGAAGAATTGGTCTGGGATTTCCTTCTTCTGCCTTAGCTTTTGACCATCAACCAAGGACCTTGGAGATGAGATGAATACTTTACTGAATAAAATAATTTTTCCATTCTGTCTTTGACAAAGCCCTGATTCCAAACTAATCAGTTCCCACTCAGTCTTAAGACCCTAATGTAAACATTCTAATGTTAGAATTAGTAGACAAAGGAGACCACCATGGCCTGTGTGTTAAAGAGGCTTTTCTATTGTGAGCTAATCCATCCTAAATACCAATATATCCAATTTGTGACCTGAAAATTCTATGGCTAGGAGAAGTGAGTGTCTGGAACTCTAAATTATTTAAGGTCAGGTGCCATAGAACCCAGATTCTCAAATCATCTCTCTTGAGTACTAAATGTGAAAATCATTCTATCTAATTTGTGATTCTACTGTAGTGTATGCATCCTTACATTAATGCTGTCCTTTTCAATACTGCTTTTCTTTGTGTACAGACAAAGTTTCCTCATTTTCCATATGTAAGAGTAACATGAATTGAAATTAGAAAAAAAATTTTTAAAAATCTAGTTTTCGCCTAAAATTTTACAAAGATAATCTATCTTTTATTAAATGTACTAGAAGGGGGCAATATGCTTTCCCATGAGAGCTTTAAATTTTCATTCCAAGCAGATCCCTTTACCAAGAAAGAAGTATTTAAAAAAACTACTTCATTTCCAGGAATCTTCACTTCTCATTGTCTCTAGTGAGTGCTGATTCCAGCTAGCTGGGTGCTAGAGATGCTGGCCTTGGTCCAAAAGTCAGCACTTTCTAGGTTGTCTTTCAGTAACTAAAATGCCTGCCGCTGTGTAGCAGGAAGTGCTCACCATTCATGCTGGAACAAGCCCAATGCAATCTGCTATAAAATGAACTGGCTGTTCTAATCCACAGAGGCACTGCCTGGTGCCTCACACAGGATTAGAGTCAACAGGTTATATTGGCACACAAAAAATAACTACTATGTGAGTCAAAACCCACTTTTTAAAAACACACAGAAAGCGGCACACAGAAATTGAAACCTACACCCCTTATTTTAAATGGCATTGTTTGATGCATTTAAAGATAGCTTTAAGACACAACTATCTACTCATAGAAGTTACATTTGGTTTGTCTACCTACCTCATATGGTTTTCTTTTCTGTTCAGGCTTATCACAAAATGTTATCCTGAGGCATTATTTAACCATACTTGGAATAATGAATTCAATTGTAGCACCACTTTTTAAGGGGGATTGAACAAACTACTTGAAGGGCCACCAGTGTAATGAAAGGTCTGTAAATATGAATTAATTAATATTAAAAAACATTCATTAAATGTTTACTATGTAGCAAGCACTATGCTAAGGGGTAGAGATATAAATAATAAAATCAAAGATAATTCCTTCCCTCTAGAAATTTATATTTGTGGGGAGGAGACAGTGGGGAAATTACACACATGGAGAGTTTGTCCAATGAGGTACACTCGGATCCTGAAAGGTAAGCTGAGTCATGGGAGAGTGTGTTAACATATATCTTCCAGGAACAATGGCAGAGTTGATTTGATTATGGTTCCAAAATTGTTATTGTTTAGTCATTTTAGGTCATATCCAATTCTTCATGACCCCATTTGGGGTTTTCTTGGCACAGATACCGGAATGGTTTGCCATTCCCTTTTCCAGTTCATTTTACAGATGAAGAAACTGAGGCAAACAGGGTTAAGAGACTTGCCCAGGGTTACATAAGTAGTAAGTGTCAGAGGTCAGACTTGAACTCACAAAGATGAGTCTTCCTGACTTCAGGCTCAGTGCTCTATCCACCATGCCACCAAGCTGCCTGCTATGGTTCCAAAACTGGAGGGGAAAAATGGGGAGTAAGTTAGAAATGTTACCTACAAAGGGGCAAGGCCATTGTTGAGAATAGGAAGTGAAATGAAGGTGGGCGGCTTCTGAAATAGTGGACCAGAAGAGGCACTCTTCATCAATAGCCTCAAAGCAGGAGTTCCAGAGATGAAAAGGTTAAAATTTCTAGGGTATGGTCTCTGATTTAAGCAGGTTGCTGTTGAGAAAATGTCTAGAGAAAAGAGAAATGGTTTGAAAGGATTGTGGATATTTAGCCTAGAGGCAAGAGATCTGTCTTCAAAATATTTTATAAATATCACAAGGTTGGAATGGATCTTTCAGGAGTGTATCAGCAATCTTCCATAGCTTACCTTTCCTTGGATACTTGCAGTGATGATAAATTCACTGTCACATTTGATAGATCTTATGTGATGGTTCACTGTCACATGAGGCAGACCTTTTTGTTAGATACCTCTAGTTTATTAAGTAGGTTTTTTGAGCTTAAAGCAATAGAAGAAAATCAATGTGAAGTTAGCCTAGATGACCTTAGCAATTGTTAATATTGAAAAGCACAATACAAGTCATTTTGTGCAAACGTCTATCACCAGCATTCCTGATTGATGGTCATAAATGTTTGACAAACTCATGGTTTAACATTTCCTTCTTTTCAGATGAAACCTAAGATCCTTTCCAGCACTAAGATTCTATGATCCTACTGGTACAAGAAATTTGAGACATGAATCATATTTCCCTTTTAGCTTTATAAAAGAGTAATGCAGAAACCAAATTCATGAATTTGTCCCAGGAGACTGAGTGGGCTGTGATAATCATAAGATTATGTGCATCATTTCAGAACACTTGTGTAGCTATGTTGTAATGTCTATAGTGAAATGTATAATGGTTTCAGTTCTCTATAGGGATCCAGAAAATGGGGCTAACTCTTCAGGGAAGCTACGCAGGTTCAAAATTCTTGGACTAGGTTCCCCCGTGCAATAGAACACCCATGCTTTGGAAAGGCCAGGTGCTAGAAAAGTGGACTTTTCCATGACAGTTATATTGGTGCTAATCATGGATTGCATTTACCATACAATATGGTAAAAAGTTTTTTTTTTAAACTGATGCAAAGTGAAGGAAGCAGAGCCAGGAAAATAGTATACACAATGACTACATCAATGTGAATGATAAGAACAATCACTACAGAATAATAAAAAATAATCCCAAAAAGGAGACCTGGGAAGATGCTGTCCCCTGCTCCTTTATAGAGGTTGGAGGGGGGAGGAGTTGGTGATCTATGACCATGGAACATTGCATAATGCCGGATTTTTTTCAATGTGTTGATAGTTTTTGCTGGGGAGGGGAGGTTCCCGTTTTTCTTCCCTTTCTTAGAAAAAAAATTGTTATAAAAGGGAAGGGAATAGATGGGATCCAAGGAGAAATATAAACAACATAAAAAGAAAAGGTTTTAATAAAATAAAATAAAAATTTAATAAAAATCATTTTATAAAAGTAATCTGTTTTATGAAGTAAGATTTTAGGCTATAGCAAGGAACCTTAACACTGGATCCTAGGATTTTAGATCTCCAGAGCTGGAACTGGAACCTCACAGATCAAAAGGAGGAGGCTGTGACTCAGAGAGGCTCATAAAGGGAGTCATCCTTGGATGTAGAATTTGAATTCAAGTCCTCCTAACTAAAGGGAAGTGCTTTTTTAAAAAATTGTACAAGTGAGGCCAAATAGCTAACCCTCAGGGAAACTAGCAATGCTATATTTTAAACCAACGAAGTCCTATTGATGATCATTCTATAGTGAGTCTGGAGAGAAGAGTACCCTCTAAACACCCTACGCAAGGTAATGCCCCAAGTTATGAACTCCTGTAAATTTAAACCTTAGATTCTGCCTTGTTTAGTCCCCTAATGTTATAGTTGGGGAAATAGATTCAGAGGTTAAGTGACTTGTACACACTTAGTGCTAATTAATGGCAGAGTGAGTTATTGTCATCTGGGACTGGTTAAGGCTGGTCCTGTGACAATTTAGGTCCAATATTTGAATGAAGTGACACTCATAGATTATGGAAAAGTTAACAAAAAGAGGTTTACTTAGCCACTACATAGAAAGGATACTCAACAAGGATACAAGGAACACTTCCCGCAGTTAGACACAGCTTCTCAAGTTTCCATACTGAAGGGGAAGGTAGAGTGAGCTTCTCCCCACCCTGATACATCCACCAAGGGGAAGGACCCAGACTTTATATGGATAGGCCTTTTTATGCCCTTAGATGAATAGGGCATCACCAGGGAGCTGCATTAACCCTGAAGTGACTTGAGCCTTAGCCTTTAGGCCAATTAGGTCTTAGGGACAGCTTCCTTGCTTTTTTTGTTTGTTTGTTTTTTTGTTTGTTTGTTTGTTTGTTTTTAGGGAAAGAAATAACCTAACCTCTGTGGAAGGATTTGGGGAAGGAAAGGTTGGTGGATATTTACCCTATAGTCAAGACTCTTAGTTCAGTGGAATTCATTTCATTTCCTGAGTGAGCACCCTCTTCAATTTTGAATGGAGCTTAGACTCAGTTATATCCAAAGAAAATTAGGCAGCATGAAAACATCCATTTCAAGATATTGGAGAGAGGGAAAGATACCAGATGAATGGGAAAAACATAATGATTGTCTTATGTGCAGAAATAGAAAGGAAATTGAGAGATGGCTACCTATAACTACTTTCTCATCACTCTAAACAAAATATTTTAGAGAATGATTGTACACTTTGAGGATCTCATATATCCTTAAAGAAAATAAGAGAAGGAAACAGGTGGGCTTTTACAAACAATTTTCTACAACAGATCACAGCTTCACAGTTGCACAATTGACTGAAAAGTTAAAAAAAATCTGTCAGAGCAAAAGGCATTCTTGA